ACTTCAAAGTTAGATAAATAAAGGAGTAAAAAAAAAAAAGATGTTCTACAGAAATTGAACATTCAGGAAGTTGTGGGGCAAAGTAAAAAAAAAAGTGAAGAGAGTAAACAAACAAAAAAAACAAACACAAAACTCATAGACACAAAAAGTATAGTGATTACCAGAGAGGAAGGGGAGTTGGGCAAGGTGAAGGAATGGAGATGGAAGGAGACTTGGCTTGGGGTAGTGAGCACACAATACAATATACAGATAATGCATTATAGAATTGTACACCTGAAACTTATACAATTTTATTAACCAATGTCACCCCAATGAATTCAATAGAAAAGTTACTAAAAAAAAAAAAAAATGGGACACATAATTGTATAAATCTGGGCACATCAATACGGCTGCCAGGCCTCAGTGGTAAGGCAGCCGAGCTCCTGGCCTGGACCACTCAGCAGCAGCCTCGTTAATGTCTCTGAAGGACCTGGATTAATTAGCCCCACTGGAAGGAGCATTTTTACTCGAGATCCCAGGACAGAGAATCCTGTAAGAACAGCTCTTTACCCACGTCTGGGGCCTGGAGAAGTGGTTTGGCTTCCTGGACGTAAGGTTCACTCAATCCTGAAAGGTCAGAACTCTTTTCTCCCTAACAGATAACAGGCCACTTAGGTGGTCCAGGCTCCAGCTAATTTTAGACCTGGAAATAGAAAAGCATGCAGTGAAATGTTAATATTACGTCAATTTTAAGTTGGGTTATAAAGTAATGCCAATCACTTTTAAGCAAAACATTGTACACAAATGAGTGAAATCTAGTAAAGTTGTCACTCAAAGCACATTTGGAGGGTGTTTTTTTTTGTAGTATCACTTGGGGTCAATTGTAAGACATAAGACATTTGCAGCCAAAATGATTATACCCAATTTACTCACCAGATTTGGTTTTAGACTTCTGCAACAATCAAGCCCATCCTATACTGGAAAATAAACAAACAACTTGACACATGTTTTGAATGACGACTTTACTCTGAGAATGAGTACAGAGAGAACCCCAGCACTTACATTTGGAGAGTTAAGTTCTAACATACTGATTTAGAAAGCCAGACATAAGGGGCAGTTGGTGCCTATGGTTTTTGCAACTAAGATTAAATATGGGACAAAGTAAAACAGTGGGTCCCCTACACTTCCTCCAGCAGGAGAGCCCACGTTGTCGGGGGCGTGGACCCTGAGTAAGAATACATTGACATCTTCCTGGCTCAGCAAATACTTTCTCTTTTTAATCTCAAAATAAAATAATTTCTCAATTTTGCTTTTTCCTAAAGTTTAAGACTATGAATCAGATGACTTTTATTGCAATTAATTTACTGTAGCCATGATAACAGTTTTTGCTACTCACTTTAATTCAAATTCATGTTATATTTTAGCTACTTCTGTGGGTATTGTTACAGAATAGCACAGAATATCAAATAATTCTCTCTATTGTCTAGAATCCTAGAATTCCAAGATATTACTATTTTTTTTTTGAAGTTGGAATGTCATCAACCTTTGCCTTTATATTTATATAGATACATAGCATCAGTATACTTTTATTCTAGCAATAATAGACCCAACAAACAGCAGCTAATTTTCTATTAATTTTCATCAGGTTAGTTTGAATGATTGAAATAAAAAGTCAAAATTAATTATATTAAAGGAGACAAGAGCTTTATGCTTTTTGATTGCCTTTGAACCACAAAAGCAATTTTTTAGTGTATTTAAGCTTTGGTTTCCCTTCTGTTCAACCCCTCGAGTGACCTGGCTTGGGGAGGAGTTGGGGCAAAGGGAAAGAGAGACATGAGGTCCATCATGCCAGGCTGGGCCAGGCCAGTGCAGCTGCTGGCCTGGGCACAAGCGTGGGAGGCCACCTGTGGCTCCCAGCACAGCTGTTTGGTAGAGGGCCAACCAAAGCCCCGTCGGTGGGGTGGAGGCAGGTGGCCAGTTGGGCGGCCAATCCATTCTGGCATGAGCTGAAAGAACACCTGGTTCTACTCTGTGGACCCACCACAGAAGGTCAAAGAATGTGCCTGCTGGCAGCAACCTAATGGCCCAAGTTTTCAAGCCCCAGTGGTCCTGCTCTGACTGAAACAGAGGAAAACCCACCTTTCTTTCTCAAAACTTACCCCAAAGCCAACACGGGAATCATCCGGCTCCAGTTGTGTTGAAATAGGTCAGTGAGGCCACCTGGCATGTCTGGAAATGGTGTTTTGTGTGTGTGTGTGTGGGGGGGGGGCGCCTGTCAAGCAGGAACAGGCTCTGTGATTCAAAGCTGGACGTTTCAGGAGGCGAGAGCCTTCGTGTTGTGTTTGGCTGCTAACTGCAGACACAATCCTCCTCCAATGTCTCTGATCTTCCTGCTCCTGCTCTTCCCCTGAACTCTAACTACATGCCTGGGAACCACTGTGGGCCTCCACTAGTCATTTTATCACTGGACATAGAAACTTTCATAGTGAACACCACCGCCTACTGAGACAGGGAACCAAAGTTCTCCCTTTTCGTGACCCCTGAGCTCCCTCCCAAGGCTTTGGGCCCACTGCTTCCCAGGAAGAAGGACTCCATTTCCTCTGGCCTGGGGAGTCAGTGTCTCTCTGATGGAGGAGCATCCTTCTTAACTTCCCTGTCCCAAATGCAGATCAGGCAGCTCCCTTCCGAGTGCCAAAGAGGTGACGTCCCCCTCCTGGTTCTGTGGCCCTAGGCAGCTTAGCCTCTCTGAGCCTCAGTCTGGGTACTTACTAATGGGGATTGATAGCATTGTCCTTACAGTTTCGTTGCCACCCATTCAATGAGAGAACATATATCAAGTACCCAGCACAGGGCTTTGCACAACCAGCACTCAGTAGATATTGGTTGTAGGAATGAATGACCATAGCTGATACCACTTGCAGACACAGAGGCCACTCCTGGCCCTCAACTGGCAATTCCTGCTGCTACATTTGCTTGGCATTTTAGGGGCTTCATCTCACAATTACTGCTTACAATTGCCCTTGCTGGGGGACACAGATCAGGCCCCTCCAAGACTTTTATTGGCCTGGAGCTAGTAGAAGCCACCCCTGCTGAATCATTGACCAGAGGAAGGCATTTTGACTTCTAGGAGGTCTGAAGCTGGTGGGTTAACTTGCCCCTTCTCATGTGCAACTTCTCCGTAAGGCAAGGCATCCAAGTCAAGATCCAAGAAGAGACCTCTTCTTTCTCCTCTCTCTCTCTCTCTCTCTCTCTCTCTCTCTCTCTCTCTCTCTCTCTCTCTCTCTCTTTCTCTCTCCTTCCTTCCCTCCCTCCTTCCCTCCCTCTTTAATTTTAGAGAGAATAAGGGGGAGAGGGGGCGGAGGGAGGGGCAGAGAAAGGCACATTGATTTGTTGTTCCACTTATTTGTGATTCATTGGTTGATTCTTATATGTGCCCTGACTAGAGATTGAACACACAACCTTGGTGTATCAGGGGTGACACTCTGACTGAGCTACCCAGCCAGGGCCAAGAAGAGACTTCTTGATCAAATGTCACAAGCCTTAAGGTCTTGGGCAGTGGATCTGACTGGTCACGATGTTCTATTACCCGGGGAGCTTGTTCCTGCCTGGTGCTCCCAGGCCTTTGTGTAACCACAGTGTCGTTCCAGAGAACACAAGACACTGCCATGGACACTAGCTATCATTACCTGCACAGTTCAAGTGCGCTAAGGAGAGCCATCCACCAAAAGACAATACAGGCCTAATCTTGGTTCCCTCTGAGAGTGAAGCCAGTCCTCAAAACTGTTCCATTTCTGGCCTCAGGTACTATCTATCTGAGAGGGGCAGGGAATGCTAGAAATAACCCCATCAGAAAGAGATGGGAGAAAAGAACATTTTTCTTCTAAGTCCTAGCTTGAGGTTTTCAAGTCTGAGGCATAAAACCATTGTGAAATGGCTTTTCTTTAAAAAAACAAACAAACAAACAAAAAAAACATACATTCTAATCATAGATACTAATGAGACAGAATTTCAAATGCAGCTTCTCTCTCACTTTTTTTTATTCTGTGGTTGATCTTTTCTCTTGCCTGTGACCATTTACTTAGAATCTTCCAGTCCTTGTGGTCTGTGACCATTTTTTTCCCCTTCTTGAATTACACTTTTCACCTTCTTCAATGATTCTCTCTCTTCATTGATGTTTCAATCTTCCTCTCCCTTCCTATCTAAAAATCGATAATAACAAAACAAAAAAATAGGTGCAATCTCTGGGGAAGGTGACAAGAATTCAATAAATTAACTCAATCCTGGCTACTCCCTGGAAAGCTTGGATAATGTAGCTGTGGTATTCCAAGGGATAGCCCCTGCAAGTTTAATGCCAGCTGTTCAAAAAATAGACAACTTCCAACGGAATCATTCTTATAAGCTGAATTTTTATTTTTCCTAAATTATCTATGTTAATAAAGAAATCTGTGCTTGGTGTGGAATTTCACTCCATCAAGTGTTACAATGACTTTTCATTTTCATTACAAGCAGGAGAATGAATGAAGGACAAGTGTTAGGAAACATGGCAATAAATTAGAATATAATTTACAAAAGCAAAAAAAAAAAAAAAGTAACAGTGTACCACATTAATACTGAGTACAAAATAATAAGCAACAACTAATCACAATAATACAAAGGTAATTTCATTCTGTATTATTAAGGATACCTATGTGACATTCACTCAAATAAAAGATTCCTAATGAAATGAACTGATCTAGGAGTCATGTGTGTCTCAAGGGGTTTAATCAGTTGGGGATATTTCCTTTCAGTTTTGGGTAGGCTTTTCTGCCAGTGGCATATACCACTCTCACCCCCGGGGTACCAGCTTCCTTGGGGTTCCCTAAGTAGTCTATAGAGCTCACTATTTTTGGAGGGCCTACCATGGGGGCTCAGCCTCCACCGATGATTCTGCTGTAACCATTTAGGAAAAGAGCATTTGTAGCCACGTGGTTGACTACAGAGCAGCAGCGGTATTGTGATGTGCTGTGGAATGTGACATTTTCCCTCACTTGGATTAACTCAGGGCCTATCTGAAATGTTTAATCCTGTTACGTTCCATGCTTGGTTCCTTCTGAGAAGGTGACCTGATACTCTGCACACCCCAGAGGGCACTGGCTGCCCTCCTCTTCCACAACCAATCAGGGGTGCCTGGTGCCTGGGTGGATGGCCCTTGCAATGTTCGTTTCCAAATGAGGTAAAAAAAAAAAAAAATAGCCCTTAATCAATAATGTAAGAAATCTGTTTAAATAAACATATGAGCTGATATTTATATTGGAGAAAAGCAGATCCTGATGGCAAACCTGTGCCTGAAATGCCACAGAAACCACTCATCTTTTGTCTATTTCACCAGATTAGCACCAAGTTAACCGCTCTTTGCAAAGCACCATGGGAATTCAGTGCTGAGGCCCCTGGCCCTCCCTTTGCTGAATGGCTAAGAAGGCACCTGGGCAGCCATGAACAGTGGCCCTGACAGCAACTCTCAAGTATTGTCAACAGCTCTCCCTGGGAAGCACAGGGACGTGAGCTAGTGGGGTTGAGAAAGCAGGTGATGAGAGACACATGAGCACGACTGAGTGTGCAGAACCCTATCCCCTGTTGGCTCTCCACAGCACGACTAACATCTAGGTTGGTTTTTGGAGCCTGTGAGTCTCTCTTCCTTTCTGAAAGCACCTAATCACCCCCATCAAGTCATGGTCTAGGACTCTAGGTCATACACCTGACGTGGAGTCTCAGAGCATAGTGATGGATTAAGCCAGATTTACTCTTCAACTTGCAAGTAGCACCTTTACAGAGGAGCCATTTGGCTGAAGTGTGAGGTGTCGGTGTAGCATGGTGGACACACGTGTAGGACACAGAGCACATTCAATGGAACCTGCTGCAAGCTACAAGTGTTCAAGTATAACATATTCATATAAACAAGTACCCTCTTTTTCTTTAAATTTCACTGTCATGTATTTTGATGAGCGTGATGTGAAACTTGTGGGTAGGGAATGTGTGAGCTAGTCAATTTAAATCAGGTGGATTTGATTCTAGAATTTGACCTGCTCAAGAAACTGGGTTTCACATTTAGTTGCTGTTCAGAACAACCATTAAAAAAATTATAAAATACTTGGTTGAATGACTATTAAAAATTAGGCTTTATAATCTCTAGTCTTCATGAGTTTTTCTTCTTTGGTTGTTATCCCTTGCCTACTTTAAATCTCAGAGAAATACCACGCTCCTCGACTCACACACTCAAAAGCGCCCACACACACACACACACACTTGCTCCCATATAAATAAATGCCCTTCTGCCATATCAAAGAAGGGACATCTGGAACCCATCGTAACTGTCAGCAACAGGGTCTGCCTGGTTGTTACTGAGCCGGTCTATCCTTTTGGCCTGGTATGGTCTCAGTCAGCATAGTGTGGGTGCAGCCACCCAGTGGGGCAGGAGCCGTTCTGTGGCTGTAAACACAAGTGAGTTGGAGTGACTCCTGTTAAGAGCTGAGGCATCCCTGTGTGATGGCAGCAAAGGATCTGGTAGTACTTCGGTCTCCACCCACTCCCCAGGTCTGGCTTCTGCGTGACATTGAAATGTTTTTCTCTTAAAGTGTTAATGGGAATCTCAGCTTCACTTGCACAATGGCAGGCAGGCCACAGTTTTCAGCACTGAATTTATAGGCTGCACAGCTGCAGTGACTGAGGCACTGCTTTCAACTAAGTCCTTCACTGTCGTTCAGCTTAATGTAGTTTTATGTATGGCTCACAGCAGTGTTCAGAACAGGGGGATTATTCCTAAGGAAATTAAGTAGAAGGAAGAAAAAAAATCATACAAACTTTCATTAGTCTTGATTTATAATTGCTCCTTAAATTACAGGTTAAAAGCCCAGTTTAGAATTTAAAAGATGGTGCTGTTGTAGTGAGATAAAGTACAGTAAATATTTTTTTTAAGCTATGATTTAAGATTTCTGAATCTTCTTTACTTCCATAGTTGACCAAGTCATACCAACTACATCTTAAACAGTTTTAAATACACATGGATTCAGTGTCATTGCTAAGTCTATAATAAAAATTATCTTAATGGTCCAAGGAGGTAAACAGGCTATTGGATTTACTCGAAAGAACACAAACGTTCCACAGTAAGCAAGTCTCCCTGTGTTGTTTGGATCTCTCCAATCTGGCATTCCCTCCCAAAACTGTGTCCAGCACTTTGGATCAATAAATCCTACTTCACAGAAGTTAAAATAATATTGAAATCCTGTCAGCGAGGGCTGACCAGTGGTTACATTTTCCACAGGGTAATGCATCTGCAAGGACATCAATCCTCTTCCTCCGGGTGGCTCCTCTGTGATGGACACATTTCCAGGATGAAATGACAAGCTTTCTCTCCGGCTCTCCATGGGTCACTGTCCTTGGCAGGTCTTACAACATATCTGTCTGAAGTATGCTCGATTGCAGAACTGGAACTTGTGCACCAGCGGGCAGTAAGCCACTTTGCTCACATCTTTGCACTCTAATGAATGGGGGCAGAAAATGGAAAACAATTAGAGGCACATAAACAAGGATATAAACAAGCCAACGAGCCCGGATGCTGGGCAAGGACTCCCTTTGCACCAACCCACCTTGGCTTTCGCATGCATGTGGTTTTTGTTTTTATTTTTAAGCATACCCTGTCTGGGACAGCCTACCAGAAACATTCTTTTGATATATTTTAACACAAATTAAAAAAAAAAATTTTTTTTTTTTGCAAGGCTTTTCTCCCAGACTTTTATAAGTATGGTGCATGCCCACTATGTCTTGAAAGAATTACCATTTGTTTGGATAAGTGATCACTTCAGACAGCTTCGAAACATGAGTCATTTTTCTTACAGCGCTTTTATTGCTTCTTTCTCAAGGGTTATTTTATTCACAGCGCAAGGTTATCCAAAACCAAACATGAGTTGCATTGTTTGATACCAAAGTACACATGTCTCCAGGGAACCTCTGCATCTGTGAGGCGCGGGGCTGGGCCCGGGTGAATGAAAGGGATTGCTGACAGTGGCCTAGATTCAGCAACTACACTAGACAAAGAGGGAAACTCTGAGGGGTTGGCCTCAAATGGCAGCAGTCTGTGGGTTATGGAAACATGTAGAAATGTCTTTTTTTAATTTGGAAGTGAGACATGGCCTTCTTTTTTCCTATGTGTATTTTCTCCTCGGTGCTAGAATTGCCACAGCTGCAGCCTGCACTTCTTGCAGCCAGAAGGTGAATAAATGATTCTTTCTCCGTCTCCCCTCGAGGCTGGTTGCAGAGGATGGGGCTGAGAGCCACCCCATACACACACACACACACACACACACACACACACACACACACACATACACACACAAACACACACACACACACACACACACACACACCACCCCACTGCTGCGAATAATGATATTCCTCTCCAGTCCTCCGGTCACTTTTATCTGGGGATTTTAAAATACTTTGTAAACCTAGTAATTAAATTTCCATATGCCTCCCAGAATCAAAGTTCCACCCTCATTTTTCCAGGTGGTTACACTGAAGCATCCTGGGTAAATTGTTGAAGGTAATTAGAATCAGACAGAACACTGGGTCAGGTTTAGCGGAACAGAACAGTGGCTGGTTGTTGTTGTTTGCTCGTGTTTTTTTTCCTGGCTTCAGAAATTCTCTAACGTTCTAAGAGATTGTGTCTATGGTACAGAGCCACGTGACAAGCCTGGAAAATTAAATGCAAAGGAATGGGCAAGTTTACAGTTGTTATTATTGAAAATCACACTTTCAAGGTTCTTTCAGTGAAAGACTTAACACTTTAAACTGTAAGCCTCTACCCTCTGGAAATGTAAGCTCTGCTACCACTGAGCTCGTAGTCAAGGTTCGATTTCACAGAGAGAATACCAATTAAGACATTCAAATTAAAATTTTCCACCATAGGCTTCTCAGGTAGCACAGGCAGAAAAGCTTTCTGTAAACATTGCACTAGAATAGAGATATCAGTCAATAGTTGGTCTATTGAGTTTGAATTTGAGGTGAAAAGACCCCCATGGGTTTTAATTTGGAGGTCACTTGTTATTTTAGTGGGGGGTTTTTTTTTCTTCTTTTTTTCCTTCCTTTTCCCCTCTGTCATGACCTTCCAGAAATATCCTAAGAAAGTTTGGACTAAGAATATTTTTTGTGTGCCGAGACTGATTTGGCTCAGTGGATAGAGCGTCGGCCTGCGGACTGAAAGGTCCTGGGTTCAATTCTGGTCAAGGGCATGTACCTTGGTTGCAGGCACATCCCCAGTAGGCGGTGTGTGCAGGAAGCAGCTGATTGATGATCCTCTCTCATCGATGTTTCTAACTCTCTATCCCTCTCTCTTCCTCTCCATAAAAAACCAATAAAATATATATATATTTTTTAAAAAGAATGTTTTTGTGGAGCATATTGTCCAGGTAATGCAGTTATTCCAGGGGTGAGGAACGCTGGCACAACTCCCCGCATCGTCAGTTCCAAGTTACCATCCTTGTGGGCAGCCCGCCTCGGAGACTACTGCGCTCACTCTCCGCGACAGGGCTCCGTGAGCTGCTCGAAGTACCAAACACACTTTAGCGTTGGCCTTCCTTGCCAAAATATAAAAATGATTTAGTTGATAATCAGATAGAAGAAGACTGGTTGTTTTAATAGTACAAGGAAATAAAATTAGAAGCCAGACTGCCTGGGTTTAATCCTAGTTTTATCATTTACTAACTTTATGGCTCTGAACAAACCACTTAACCTCTCTGTGCCCAAGGTTCCGCATTGTAAACAGGGGTGACAAGAGTGCCCACCCCCATCTGGAACAGGAAGAACCTGTGCTATTGCCCAGTGCAGGGAAAGCCCTCGGGAAGTGTAGAATATCGGATTACTGTTACTGTGGCCACTGTTAGCTACTATCTCTTACTGCCTGATGACAGTGAGGGGCGCTCAATGAGGATGCAACATTTAGATTGCTACCGAGAAAATGCTGTTCTACTGGCACACGCCAGTTTGCAGACCAAACAAAGAAGATTTCCTGGGAATATATACAACTTTAATGGGAGACTCATTACTCCATTTTTGGAGGAGTGGCTGCACAAGAAACTTCACAGATTTTTTTTCTTTTCTTTTAGATTTAGACTTTGAATTCTGATTCAATAATAAATAATAAATGCCCAGTCAGTGTGGCTCAGCAGTTGAGTTCTGACCCATGAACTAAGAGATTGCCAGGTGGATTTCCAGTCAGGGCACATGAATGGGGTGCAGGCCTAATCCCAAGTAGGGGGTGTGCAGGAGGCAGTCCCTGGGTGATTCTCTTGCATTGATGTTTTTATCTCTCTGTCCCTTTCCTTTCCTCTCGCTCTAAAAGTCAATTTAAAAAAATATATAAAACCAAAAATAGATACAGAGGCAAAGAAGTATTGAACAGACTGTCAAACTGCAGCGGGAAGGCAGGGGAGGGTTGTGGGGTTGGTTTGGAGATCAACCAAGGGATTTGTATACGTGCATATAAGCATAACCAATGGACACAAGACAATGGCAGGGAGAGCGGTGAGGGCAGGGCCAGGGGGTAGGAGAGGCTGCGGGGAGGTCAATGGGGAAAAAGGAGACATATGTACTACTAATGATAAAAATCTATTCACTGAAACTCAGCTATTAACTGGTCTTTTATTATCTCGGCCTTTTCACTCCACAAGAGTTTAACCTTGTAATAATAACATTAAAAATAATTTGCCAAATGCCTCCTAAGTGCCAAGCACTGCCTTAATCCTTTTACATATATAGAACATCAGCTTTGCACAGATGGAAAAACTGAAGCTCAAAAAGGTTAAGAAACTCATGCTGGGTCACACAGCTAGTTGGTCTAAGAACTGGGACCAAAACTCAGGTTTGTCTGATTCTGAAATCATCTATTTTGGCAGCACTCTTAGCATCTAAACGAAAAAAAGGTTTCTGCCTGTCAGTGCTTCTGTGTTCTTGGCTGATACCACCGATGATAAGTAAACCTTTGGGTACACTGTCAGGAGGTCTGTGCTGCCACCTTAGAGAAGGGGAAATGTTTTTGAAAGAGGGTTCTATCACAGGCATTCAGAATAGCCCAATACTTTTCTTCAGCTATTCCTTTATCCCTAACTGTTGTGAAATTATGTGAGTTAAAGGTGATTTGAGACACACCAAGAAGCTGTAAGGTCCCATCATTACAGAAAGCTAAATGTGATCTTAACAATGTTAGTATTTAAATGATATGGGTGTGGTCAGCCCATCTGTCACTTTTGAGCTTAGTGAGAGGATTGATTTGTTGAGCACTTGGAATAACTCATTGACATTTGCTAATTTTGAGAGGCCTTAATTATAAAACTTATTGTTTACTAGTGTGTCACATCATCAAAGCCCACTGAAAATACAAAATAGTCTTTTTACACCAACCCGTGAGCACTACACAGCTTACAATGGTGCTAACACCATTCTGGAAGAGTTAATAAATCACATTTTCCCACTGACCATGAAACAACAGGAAAGTTCTGCTTTAATTTCTAAATGATCTTTAGTTGGCATAGATTTCTAGCTAATATCTAAAAAGTAAAAGTCTCTCTATACCCAAGTAATATATAATCTGAAAATAATTAGACTAGGATATCTGTTTAAAGGAATCCTTTAGTTGACATAGACTCTTTTGTAATAAAATATCTCTGTAATTGATATATTTTGAAGATTGGGTCTTTACTATCCTATTTTCTTCATACAATACACATATGTCAACTGCTTTTTAAGCAGTGGATTCTGAGCCAGGAGGGTCAAGGATGTTAAGATGAAGGAAGGAGCCTGATTTCCTCTGCTACTATCATCATACAGCTAAGTACTTGCCTTTTCTTGTGAGGCTGCTGGAAGGGTGAGAGGTCCTTACTGTGTGGTTTCTACGAAATATTTTGCTGATCTAACTAGTCTCTCCTTTTTTAAAAAAACACAAAACATATAATCTCTCCAATCCAAAAATAAAGTGTCACTTTACCCATGGCCAGAGATTTCTGATGGGAATGACAACTTAAGGAGTATCTCTAGCCCTAACCGGTTTGGCTCAGTGGATAGTGTCAGCCTGAGGACTGAAGTCAAGGGCATGCACCTTGGTTGCGGGCACATCCCCAGTAGGAGGTGTGCAGGAGGCAGCTAATCGATGTTTCTCTCTCTCTATCCCTCTCCCTTCCTCTCTGTAAAAAAAAACAATAGAATATATATATAAAAGAGTATCCCTAAATTCTTCGTAGGGAGGCTTGGGAATATATCCAGGAATAAAAGCCGCCCATTAGGCCCTGCAATGTGAACTAGAACCATTCCTATAATCTTAAGTAACTTGCCAGGTATCCTGGAGTGGGTCTCCATAGTAATCTGGGTTTTGGTAGAGTTGAATAATAAAAATTAGACAACGTGTTTCACAGGCAACACATGACTCTACTTATCATTGATATTCCAGTGGGTTTTTCCCCCCAGGTGCTTTACATTAATCTTTCAAAA